GAATGTGGCATCAGGATTGGAGGAAGACTAATTAACCACCTGCAATACACAGATGACACAACTTTGCTTGCTGAAAGTGAGGATGACTTGAAGCACTTACTGATGAAGATTAAAGACTACAGTGTGTGGTATGGATTACACCTCAATATAAAGAAAACAAAAATCCTCACAACTGGTCCAATAAACAGATGCACGGTGGATGGAGAAAAGATTGATGTTGTCAAGGATTTCATATTACTTGGTTCTACAGTCAACACCAATAGAAGCACCAGTCAAGACATCAGATGACATATTGCATTGGGCAAATCTGCTGTAAAAGACCTCTTTCAAGTGATGAAGAGCAAAGATGTCTCCTTGAAGACTAAGGTGCACTTAACCCAAGCTATGGTATTTTCAATCATCTCTTATGCATGTGAGAGCTGGACAATGAATAATGAAGACTGAGGAAGAGTTGATGCTTTTGAGTTGTGGTGTTGGAGCAGAATGCTAAGAGTACTATGGTCTGCTAAAAGGACTAACAAATCTATCCTGGAATAAATGCTGCTGGAATGCTTCTCGGAAGCAAGAATGGCCAGACTTCATCTCTACTTTGATCATGTTGTCAGAAGGAACCATTCCCTGGAGAAGGATATCATGGTTGGTAAAGTGGAGGGTTAATGAAGAAGGGGAAGGCCCTCAATGAGATGGATAGACACAGTGGCTGCAATGATGGGCTCAGGTATAGCAAGGATCGTGAGGCTGGCACAAGACTGGGCAGTGTTTCATTCTGCTGTGCATAGGGTTGCTATGAGTCCAGTAACTGGCAATAAATACTTGTTGAAATAATGAATGAGCAGTGAGAACAGTGGACTAGAATGGATTAGGAGAGAATGGAAGGCGAGCAAGTACAATCATCATGTGTAGCATGTTTACTATGAAGGGGAGCAAAAAAATGGCATGATAAGCTGAAGGAATATAGTATCAAAAGAGGTTTTTTAAATGTGATATATGACCTCAGTAACCTAATGGTATGTTATACAGATGTTATCTCATACACTAAAAAACCTAGTTTATAATTCTATTTTTAAGAACTAATATAACTCAAAAACCAAACCCACTGCTGTCGAGTTGATTCTGATTCATAGTGACCCCATAGGACAGAGTAGAACAGCCCCTTAGGGTTTCCAAGCCTAGAGTCTTTATGGAAGTGACTGCCTCATCTTTCTCCCACATAGTACCTGGTAGCTTTGACTGCCAACCTTTTGGTTAACAGCCAAATGCTTAACCACTGCATCACCAGGGCTCCTTGAACTAATGCCCATCTTCATTAACAAGATTAATAAAATCCAAGAACGAAACAATTTACTGAATCAGAGTAGACAAAATAAAGCATTTAATTTTCTTTTGTGTGCCATGTGTTATGTCTGGAGTTATAACAAAGAATAAGACATCCTGGTTCTTGTTCTCAAGGAGCTTGTTGTTGTCATTAGTTACCCTCAAGTCAGCCTCCACTCATGGAGAACCCATTCACAACAGCAGGAAATGGTGTCTTGTCCTGTGCCTCACCCATGATCAGCTCTGATCAACAGGATTTTCATTGGCTGGGTTTTTGAAGGTAGATCATTACTCCTTTCTTCCTAGTTTGTCTTAGTGTGGCTCTGCTGAAACCTGTTCAGTATCACAGCAACACACAATCTACCACTGACAGTTGGGTTGTGACTGTGCATGAGGTGTACTGGCCAGCAATCAAACCAGGTCTCCTACACAGAAGATGAGAATTCTATCCCTAGACCACCAATGCTTCATTCAAGGAACTTAGGAGTCTATTAACTCTCATCTGGAGTCCCAGGGTGGTGTAAACAGCTAATGAATGTGTCAACTGTTAACTGAAAGGTTGGTGGTTTGAGTGCATCCAGAGGCACCTAGAAAGAAAGACCTGGCAATCTACTTAGGAAAAAAATCAGCCATTGAAAACCTTGTGGAATAAAGTTTTACTTTGACACACATGGAGTCACCATAAGTTGGAATTGACTTATGACATCTGGAAATGGAAATACTCATCTGCAGTGATGATGATAAAGATTCACTTGGAAACAATTTCTCTGTAGTGCAGTCATGCATGCTAAAACTTTATTTTGGCTTCTCTAGACAGGAATATTACTTGCTTGTGATGAGTGGATTTAAATCCTACCCTCAGGCTAAATGGAAACAGAGAAGTAATTTGCTCAAGATCAAGCCACTAATAAATGGTAGATCTGGCATTTGAATCCAGGTGTCTTGAGAATAAAGTCTGTGCTCAAAATTACCATGCTAAATTTGTATAAAAGTTTACACCAGAATACATGTATTATGCATATTCTTTTATAAAAATTATGCTGAGTCTTCATAATAAAACCCTAAAATAAATGTTGGAATGGGTATGGAATAAATTCCATATATATCCATTAAAGGGAGTTTATTTATATAGCAGTCTGGGAATTAGCCTGAATGAATGTCTGAAAACTCACTGCCACGAAGCAAATAAATGGATGAATTCTGTCAACAACCTAAAAGAGGCTGGAAGAGAAACTTGAGCACCACCATCTCAGGTTGAAGCCTTGGTCAATACCTTGACTTCAGCCTGGGGAGACTTTGAGCAGAGGACCCAGCTAACCTGGGTACCATGGACGACTCCTGTCCCATGGGAATTGAGATGATAAATGAGTGTTGTTTTAAGCTGCTAAGTATGTGGTGCTTTGTTACATAGCAACAGAAAACTAAAACATAAGCCAATATTCATTCCTTACAGAGACTGTTAGAGGAGACCTAATGCTATATATTAGGAGCTCTGGCAGTGTAGTGCCTAAGGCACTTGACTGCTAACCAGAAGGCTGGTGGTTCAAACCCACCAGCCACTCCTCAGAACGAAGGTTGGGGAATCTACTTCCGTAGTGATACTGCCTTGGAAGCCCAAGGGGGGGTCGCTATGAGTCAGATCCAACTCGATGGCACATAACAACAATGCTATATATTACTCCAAGTGTAATAATGGAAGCAGAATTTTAAATTCTGAAGTGTCCTAACCCATGTACCTTCATACCTCCATGCCTTTTCATTTACTGTTCCATCTGCCTGGAATACCTAGTTGCCTCAGATCAATTCTACTCAAACTTTAAACTCAGGCAGATGTTGCTTCTTCAAAGATGCATTCCTTTGTAACCGCTTCCATCCACCCCCAAGCAGAATAATTTACTCCTACCCCTTGCTTTCCTGGCAGCAGCTAATTTGTACATCTCTCAAAACACTTGCCATGATACGTTGCAGTAACTTTTTATATCCCCCTTCCCTTAGGAGTCTCCGAGTGGTGTAAAGGGAAAGGCTGAAACCTACCCAGAGCCACCTTTTTAAAAGACAGGCCTGGCAATCTGCTCCCAAAAGGTCACAACTTTGAAAATGCTGTGGAGCACAGTTCTACTCTGCACACATAGGGTCTCCATGAGCTGGAACTGACTTGATGGGCAACTAACCACAGCGTTCCTCCCCCCCACACACACTGTGAAGTTTTCAGGTCAGAACTTCTCCAAGCTCCTGCACAAAACCAAAAAAATCCACTCCTATCGTGTTGCTGTCAAGTTGACTCTGTCTCATGGGGACCCATATATGGCAGACTGGAACTGCCTCCATAGGGTTTTCAGTGGCTATGACCTTTTGGAAGCAGATAGCCAGGCCTTTCTTCAGAGGGGGCTCCACGTAGTTAGCAGTCAAACATGTTAACTGTTTGTGCCACTCAGGGGCTAAACAGTTGGATACTAGCGAAGAAAATGAGGATCTGGATAAGCACAGACTTTTGATCCCAGGGAGCTACTGTTTATCTTCCAGCACAGATGATCAGGCCTCCAGGTGTCATCTCCGTGACAACTGCAGGGTGACTAACCAATCAATTAATGTGTTAAAAGGGCTGATATTTACTGTCTCAAAAGAGCTGCTCTGAAATAGATAGGTGCGCTTGAAGCAATAGGTGGCAGGTGCTGGCAAGGATTTAGATTGTTCCCGAAAGGGGTGGCAGAAAGCCCTGCTGATTTGTTGTGATTCGAGCCCTATGCTAAGGTACACACTTGCTGATTTAAATAACCTATTTTACACCCTTCCTTAAATCAAATGTCAAATGAAATAGGTAACAATCCTACAGAATTTATTTTACTCAGTCCCTTAAAAATCTGGGTTAAAAAGACAGAAATATGAATCATGTATCAATAATACCCATGACATTCATTCACAGGATACCAAAAAATACCAAATAGTATTTTTTGGAGTTTGCAGACTCAGGTAAAATTATGTATCATCAATCCATAGGGAATGTCATTTAACTGGGTGTGTGTTTTGAAAATATATTGAGAAATATTCATGTCCTTCAGTATATTGTCCTTAGGACCCATTCCCACAGGCAAATATTTGAACTGCAAGGAAGTGTTCCCTTGTGTTTAACCTAAATTAATCATGGTACCATGAAGATCATTAACAATCAGAAAGGACCAAAGCAAAACATAGAAATAAGGCTCCTATCTCATGCTGCATCACAAGTTCAGAGGAGCTAGGTTCATACTCCCTTTGGATGTATCTGAAGTTATCCCTAAGAATCAAATCAGACGCTGCAGGTCCTACATCTTGGAGACCTTTTACAGATTCTAGCTAGCAGTGGCTCAAAGAGGCAACAAACTGGACACACAATTTCCCTAAGGTCAGTTGTGAGAGAAAACATAGGATCTGGGTCTAATTTATCTTTAGGTGCTACTTTTTTCACTCAGAAAATATTGAGCACCCACTATGTATCAGACTTTGTGCTAGGGCCTGGGCTAGAGCTGGGAATTAGATAAAGCCCCTGCCCTCATAGGCTTTATGGTCTCGTGTGTATTTGTGTACGTGTGTATTGTATAGATAATGAAGAATGGGATAAGAGACAGGAGAGGAAATAGAGTCTGTCAAAAATGTACTAACATCAAAATGTTATTAAAAACTTGAAAGTGGCAGATAATGGTAAATACCTTCGATGCTTTGTGGACCCACAAGATTCATGGCTTGGTGAGCTGGATATTCCACCCGTGGCCTGGCAATGCCCAACTGCTCCATAACACCATGGAGTAGCCTCTGGATATCTGTTTCTGAGACCCGGTCAGGGGTCCGAGGACTATACGCAGATGTCAGAGTCCATCCAAATGCCAGCCAAAATAGCAGTCCAGACAGCAGGGCACAGATCTTTCGGGAAATCATTTTTAACCTGCACAAAGAAGACCAAATACATATATTGATTGGCCCTAAAGGGCAATAGTGATAATGCAATCATGCAACCAGTCTAAGGAATAGTTCAAGAACTATGCAGAAAAGGGCTGAAATGATAAAATCCTTCAAGAGTTTGCTTTTGTCTCAAATGTCCACCCTATGCAGGACATCTGCTGTAGGAATATATTAAAAACCAAGACAGTCTGAGGTATCCAGTTTTCCCTGTACTTGCATTCTTGGGAAGGCTCACCTGGAATCACAATTCTCATTCATTTTCTTTTTATTCTCCTTGCATCTCCCAGAATGGTCTGCATTACCCCAACCCAACCACTCTCACCATCTCTTCCTAATAAAAAAGAACAAAGCAAAGCAAAACAAAAACACACATTTTGCTTCAATGTTGAGAAAGGGAGAGGGATAGCGAAATCTTGTGTTTTTTCAGTTTCAGGAAGGATTTAGGGAGAAACAAATGGTAAAGGAGGGCAGAAGGGTTAAGGGGTGGTGGAAAAGAACATTTTAGCTTATCAAGCACCTATTCTATTTGAGATCCTGAGAGAAATGGAAATCCACACACACATACTGACACCCCTACCGTCTGGTAGGGAAATGAGGTATACTTGCTCAGCCAGGTGTTTGCTGGCCAGGTGAGCCTGAGCAAGTGCCTCAGTTTTCTCATCTGAAAAAGGGGGATAATAAACCTATCTACCTTATAGGGTTGTTGTGAGAATAATTGTGCAAACACTTCTAAGAGGACAATGCCAGGCACAGAATGAGCCTCTTATAATCTTTGCTATTATAGTGTCTGCAATACTGCCTCAGGCTGGCTTGTTTATCTTTACAGTTCTGGAGGTTAGAATTTTGGGAGAAGACAGAGGAAGACAGAGCAGGTGAGGGAGAGGGAGAACACTAGACTGGGAGTCAGCTTGTTCTAAATTGTGGCTTTTAAGGGACCATATTCACACGGCTGCCTTCTGAGCTGCTTAGCCTGTGAGGACAGATGCTTCAGACAGCAGCCCTGCGAAGTCCTCTTTTTGATCACCCTTCTCTCTTATTTATTTTTGAGGGGGATGGTTGAGGATGCAAAACCACCTATTTTCTTCCCTAAAACAGAAATATTCATACCCTCTTCTATATTTTTCTATAAAAGGAAAGTCTTTCTCCAGTCTGACAGCTGAAAACAGCTCTTTGCTGCAACCAAAAAGCCTGCAACTGTGATGGAAAAGGCCTGAGGCCAACACCAGCCTCTCCATCTCCATCTTTTCCTGTCCACTCTGAATGCAAGATGTCCGTCTGTCTTACTCCATTCGCAGACAACACTGCTCTGATTTGATAAGGCATCCAATCTCCTCCCTCGATATTCCTGTCCCTTATGTATAGCCAAACCTCCTGATCACATATCTATCTTTTGTTTGACCTCAATCTTTAGCTCGAAAATGTCAGCAGAAAGCCCGCCCTCGCTCTCCATCCCGAAGGAGAGGCTCATCTTGGGTGGGCAGCAGAAAGTGAAGCCACTTATCAGCGCAGTACTCACCGAGGGACAGCCTGGGAAGCCTGCTTCTGTCTTGGTTCGGTCAGGGTAGTGCTGGGGGCCGGGAGAGTTCGGTGGCTCGTACGTCACCTCCCTCTGCATCTTAACTCCGCCCAGCCCCTCCCCCAGCAGGTGGAAGCCGCCTCGCCAGAACACCCCCGAACGCAGACCAGAATGGATGTGCCTCTGGACAACAGAGCTCCAACCCATTCATTCGGCATACAAACCTCTTCACTGTGTACACTTCCTACAGGCTCTCCTCCTCTATCCATCCCCATGGAATTGATCACCCTCTATCTCAAGCAATGTGCCAGATTGTCATTTCTGTATTCCGCCCCCAGGAGCACACCTCTAATTTTCTTACCTTCTAAAACAGCTTATAAAAATCTTTTCACTTGGAAGAGGAAGGAAGCAATGGTAGGGGTGTCAGACAAAATGTGAAGATGTCTTAGGAACTTTTAATGGTGGCAATGATAAGGTACATGCTGCTTCCAGGAGCCCTTTCACCAATCAGGAACACTGAAGAGATTTAATAGAGGATGCTAGAAACAGCTGTTAATGACACATCAAGGAACATACGAAAATCTCTAGGAATATTAGCTCTGAGTATATAGGAGCTTTGGTAGCATAGTGCCTAAGGCACTTGACTGCTAACCAGAAGGCTGGCAGTTCAAACCCACCAGCCACTCCTGGGAAGGAAGGTTGGGCAATCTACTTTCATAGTGATACTGCCTTGGAAACCCAAGGAGGGGTCGCTATGAGTCGGGTCTGACTCGACGGCACACAACAACACAACATATATCTAAACCTCCATACCAGTTATCTATGTAAAATTCCAACTTTGGCCTGAAGAGAGACCCAGAATTTACAGCATATTGCAGAAAATATAGCCAGGTACACCTAGGATGGTAGCATAGTGCCTAAGGCACTTGACTGCTAACCAGAAGGCTGGAGGTTCAAACCAACCAGCCACTCCTCGGAAGGAAGGTTGGGCAATCCTACTTCCGTAGTGATACTGCCTCGGAAACCCAAGGAGGGGTCGCTATGAGTCGGGGCTGACTCGACGGCAAATAACAACAACAACAGAGCACCTACTGTGTGCAGTTTTGAACACTTTAAATGTGTTCAAATATAAAAATAAAACTGCAAAGTCATATAATACTGTATTTCAATTTTCTTTAATCAAGGACTGGGGATGAGTCAGGTACTGGGAGGTCTGGGAGTGACTAAAAAACTTGATGTTGGAATCTCAGTCCCTTTGCCTTACCTTTATGCAGAAAATCCATGATCACAACAGATAAGCCCTTGTACATGTACGATACTGTGTTATCGGTGATAACAAACATTAATGTATGGGTAAATAGATGGATATACAGACTGAATGCCTAGGTAAAAGGGAATATAACCATGGCATTTCTACATATGTATTTGTATGTGTTATAAGAATGTCCATATATATAATAGAGCCAACAATTGGCAAAGTTATAACTTCCTAGCTACAGTCAACTACCCTGAGGGAGCAAGTAGTTGGTTCTGTGGGCTTGGGACCATGGCTGCAGGGCACATCAAGCTCAATGGGCATAACATGCTCACAAAAACTACTTTGGTGAGTGGTGACTGGGGTCTTAAAAGCTTGCAAGTAGCCATGTAGATGCAACAATGGGTCTCTCCTCATCCAGAGCAAAGTATGAAGAAAACTAAAGACACATGGAAACAATTAGTCCAAGAGATTAGTAGACCATGCAAACCTCAACCTATATGACCAGGAGACCAGAATTAGATGGTGCCCAGCCACCACTGTCAACTACCAGAAAGGGATCAGTGCAGAAGATCCTGGATAGAATGAGAAAAAATTGTGGAACTCAACTCAAAATTAAAAAAAAAAAAAAAAAAAGACTAGGTTTACTGGTCTGATAGAACCTAGTGAGACTTCAAAACTATGGGCCCTAGTTATCCTTCAGGTCTGGAATTGGACTCACTCCCGTGGCTTCCAGCCAAACAACAGGCAGGCATATAGGGTGAACATTTACTCCTTAGAATGATCAATCGTGGAAGAACAGAAGGGCAATATTTGCACAGAGATAGCTCAGGGGGCAGGAAAGGACACAGGTAAGAGATAACTACAGGGATGAAGTGGGAAGAGAGTTGTTACACTGTGGGGAATTGCAGTCAATGTCATGAAGCAAAATGTGTATGAACTGCTATATTGAAAATGAGTTTGCTCTGCATACTTTCACCCAAATCACAATTGAATAAAAAATAAATCCATTATCACCAACAGGAATTTTATGCAATGAATTGCTGTTTTTAGTTGCCATTGACTTGATTCTGACTCATGATGACCCCACGTGTGCAGAGTTCAACTGTGCTACACAGGGTTTTCAAGGCTGATACCTTTCTAAAGCAGATTTTGCAACTCTGGGTGGGTTCACATTGCCAACATTTTGAGTAGTAGTTGAGAGTTTAACCAATTTGTGCCACCCAGGGACTCCATGCAAATTCATTCATGAGACACATGGTCTATTGATTTAAAGCCAAGTAAGACTCCTGCCCAGAACTTTGTATTCCACAGATGCTGTTTCAAAGTCCCAATGCATGTTAAGTCATTAGAACTCATATTATCTACAGCTGTATGCTCAAAGACCATGCTGAGCTTTAATAATTACTATTCACACATTTTTTTTTTTTCAATTCTGACTTTTACCAACTTAAATGCAGCATGGGAGGGGATCACTATCTATACCTAGAAATTTAGAAGACCTAGCCATCCAAATGGAAGAGATCCTTATTTGCGCCCATTCAAAAGAAGGTGGCCCAACAGAATGCAGCTCTGGTGGCATAGTGCTTAAGGCATTTGACTGCTAACCAGAAGGCTAGCTGTTCAAACTCACCAGCCACTCCCCAGAAGGAAGACTGGGCAATCTACTTCCATAGAGATGCTGCCTCAGAAACCCAAGGAGGGGGCACTATGAGTCAGATCCACTCAACTGCAGTGAGTTTGGTTTGTTTGTTTTTTTTTAAATCATTGATATTATTACACACAAGTAAAATTTTGCTGAAATTAATTTTTTAAAAAACGGGTTGCAGCAGTACATTGGCAGGGATCTGCCAGATATTTAAGCTGAAATCAGAGAACATGGAATGAGGAATGTCATTGCTAATGTCAGGTGGATCTTGGCTGAAAGTAGACAATATCAGAAAGATGTTTCCTGTTTTGCTGACTATGCAGTGGCTTCCACTTGGTGGATCATAAGAAATTATGATGATACTGTGAAGAATGGAACTCCAGAACACTTAATTGTGTTCGTGAGGAAACTGTATATAGACCAAGAGGCAGTCATTCGAACAGAACAAGGTGATACTGAGCGGTTTAAAATCAGGAAAGGAGTGCATCATGTTTGTATCCTTTTACCATACCTTTTTAATCTGTATGTTGAGCAAATAATCTGAAAAACTGGACTATATAAAGAATGCAGCATAAGGATTGGAGGAAGACTCATTAACAACCTATGATACGCAGATGGCATAACCTTGCCTGCTAAAAGTGATAAAGATTTGAAGCACTTACTGATGAAGATTAAACACTACAGGCTTCAGTATGAATTACACTTCAACATAAAGAAAAATTCTCACAACTGCACCAAAAAGCAACATATATGATAAAGGGAGAAAATATTGAAGTTGTCAATGATTTCATTTTACTTGGATCCACAATCAACGCCAATGGAAGCAGCAGTTAAGAAATCAAACAACACGCAAATCTGCTGCAAAAGGTCTCTTTAAAATATTAAAACAAAGTTGTCAGCTTGAGGACTAAGGTGAGCCTGACTCAAGCCATGGTATTTTCAATTGCCTCATATACGTGCAAAAGCTGGGTGAATAAGGAAAACTGAAGAATTGATGCCTTTGAATTACAGTGTTGGCAAAGAATACTGAATATTCCACGAGCTGCCAGAAGAACAAACAAATCTATCTTGAAAGACGTACAGTCAGAATGTTCCTTAGAACAAAGCATGATGAGACTTTATCTCAAGTACTTTGGACATGTGAGAATAGACCAGCACCTTGAGAAGTATATCATGCTTGATAAAGTAGAGGGTTTGTTTAAAAAAAAAAAAAAGGAACCTCCGCAAGATGGATTGACAGAGGGTATAATGGGCTCAAAAATAGCAATGATTGTGAGGATTTCAGAGGACCGGGCAGTGTTTCATTCTGTTGTATACATGGTCACTGTGAGCAGGAACTGACTAGATGGCCCTGAACAACAACATTTGCACTTAGGATTAGAGTGAAAACAATCCTTGGCTACTGAACTTACTGCACATGTAAAACTCTGTAAAGCACCCTTGTATATTTACTATATCATTCATGGTTAGTTAAGGTAGGACATTATCTCCATTTTGTATGAAACAAAAACAGAAATATTAAAGCAATTCTGAACTTCCCTGATGCTTTCTCTAAATACCACGTTTTCAAACTATTCATTTTCATATTTCTATTGTGTTTCCAGCCTATTGCAGCTTCCAGGCTAATAAAAATAGGAGTGACATGGGTAGTTGTTTTCCTTCTAAACAAACATATTTATGGATTTATCCCTCTGAAAAGCCACTAATTTGTACAGTTAATTTCATACGCTTTCTTACTGAATTAATGCTCCAATTCAACATTTCGTTCCCTTCCATAAAACATAAAATGACATTAATGTATTTTAAGAGGTTCAAAAGGTAGAAAAAAAAATTACTTTAAGCTTGTCAACATATATCTGAGATCATATTTTCTATTTCTATTTACTACTAGAAGTATCACAAAGATCTGAAATGCATGCCCAGTCTTTACTATAAACCTGTTTGGATCTCAGGTAAACATGATGTTTATTATCTATATATTGTCACAGACTATAGAGTTAAATATTTACTAATTCTGAGTTAAGGTTAATTCCCAGGGAATAAAAAGACAGGAAACAGCTTTGAAATAAAACAGATGCACTGCTGCCAAGTAGAACTTGGTAAAGCAAACATATGATAACGTGAAATTCCTCATGTGTAAGTCCAGTTGCTCTGAGCAGGTGTGCTGTTCTGCTCCAACGTCTGAATGCGGCACTCTTAACAACTGACCTGTAGAATGATCTTGAGTAGGTGGTTCGGCCTGTTTATTTTTCCCTATAAAGCCTAGAGAATATTATTATTTGAATAATTCAAAAGGTTGTAGTTTCTAAGATTTCATTTAATAATTTAAAATGTAAATTAGACAGATTTGCTTGACAACTGGGGTCAAGTACACTTTGAATTTCATCAGTCTCAGGCAAGTCATATTCCAGAAATTTTCTTTAATGTCTATGCTAAATAAATAACATTTACACACAAGACAAAACCATCACAGACTTTTACCCAGTTAAATGTACAGACGTGCATCAACTATTTCAAATTCTAAAATGAAACATCTACATATAAGAAATCACATTGATTAAACTTTTTCAACTTTAATTATTCCTCCTTAAATAATTTAAAATTCTATGCTGGATGAGAAATGCAAATGTATTTGTGCAAATTAACTTCAAACACAGTATGGCTTAAAAGTAATCAATCACTTCTGTATTATCAGAATATTGGAGCACACTTTAGTCATTATTCTTAGTTGAAATGAATACACTGTACAGATCTACAGACAATAAAAACCAAATACCCCTACACCAAACAGGAATAAAGTATTAGGATACTATTGAGCAAATGAGTTTCTAGGAATTAAATATTAATTTTATATAAGTCAAGAAATAAAATTTGCAGGGTTTATCTCTTCCCTTTACATGTCTAGAAATTTCTTGTAGAAACTTTATCTGACATAGGAGGAATAACAGGAAATAGGCACAGTTTGCTCCACTCTTCCGATCACACATAAAAAGAAAATTCGTATTTTAAAAATTACTTATTTATAAATCCAGGCAAGAATCTCTTTAAAAAGCTAAAATGTAATCTCTGCCTTAAGAGATTACAATAAAAAGTAGTTTAAATACTGCCATAAGAAAAATAAAGTAGTAATTTATACAAGAATAAAATCCAAGCTGCTTGTGTAGGGAAATCAAAATGTTTCAGAGAAAAATCTATTACTTAATAATCATCCTGAGCTACAAAATAACATTTAGATTATTTTGCAAGTCATATCACTGATTGCTAATTTTATTTACATCAATGACAAGAATACCATTTACCAATTACAAGTCTACAGGTTTACTTGGTATTAGTTGAGCTTTTCCGATAGGATTTTTTGGAGAACCTTTATACCAAGCCCGTTCTCTTTCAGAAGGTTTCCTAAGGACTCTGTTATTTATCTCGGGAGTAAAACCTATACTGTTATTTATAACAGGTTTCAATATATCATAATTAGTCAGGTCATCCAAGGGAAACTTAATTTGGTCATAAGATACCACTTCCTGTTTACAAATTCTAATAGGCTCAAGAGAAGCATTCACCGAGTCTTGGTACCTCTTCATCTTTGAGGAAGATTTAGAAGTTAACTCCATGCTTGATTTTGAAATTGCATCGATATCTGGCTGTTCATGTGACGCAGATTTCTGTTCTTTAAGATCTGATTTCTTACATCTAATAGAGAAATCCTGTGACATATTTTCCATACAAGGAAGAGCACCATCACAGCTTACTGCTTTAACCAGAGGAGAAGCAGCATCTCCATGACTCACTGACTTATGCCTTATAGATTGTCTGTTATACTCCAACAAAGAATTAATTCGCCTGACAGACTGACGAACAGGGGTACGCTGAAACTTAAGAGGTGACTTAACTTTTGTTCTATTTGGTTCATTTAAAGAAAGTTTATTAAACCATTGTATGTGGTCTGAAACCTTTCCAGGCTCTGTCACTTGTACTCTTTCTGAAACTGTTTTATCACACGTTCCCACCAGTGACTGCTGTTTAACAATTCTCACAGGCTTAGGCTTTGGTAAGTTTGTTATACTACATGTAATATGTTCTAAGGAAGATGATTTAGCCATATCTGCTCTAGAAGCTGTGTGTTTTAGTAAGTTTTCTTTAATCACTTTCTCATTTTCCTTTAATTTAGTATTTAGTTTATCTCCTGGGGACTCCTGCTTCTTTATTTGCTCATCATTGGGGAATTCTTGCTTGCTTGAATCATCTGAATAAACATTTTTTCCATGTTCCATCTTCATTTGAGCTGAATAACATTTTATAGTTGTTTCTTTGCCCAATTTTTGAGTTTGATATAGCAAAAAGTCTCTCTCTGAAAAACTGTTTTCATCTTTACTAGTGTGGTATTTATACTTTTCCTTTGATTCTATCACAGTCAAATCATTAGTTTCAAATAGATTTTTCTCTGGGCTACATTCTACATAAGATGTTTCATTTAATTTTATTTCCCCCACATTAATTATTGATGATTGCCTGTGATTTATCAATTCATGAAGATTACTTCCAGATTCAGAAAATGCTTTCTGAATTTTCACTAAAGTCTCTGTGGTCAAGTTACTTTCATCCCCACTAAGAGAGTTTCTAGTTACGTTGCTATTAGGCTTATTGTGTTTATTGGAAGAGGGGAGTTCAAATGAAGTTACAGATGACTTCTCAATGGTAAGATCATGTTCCAAAGAAGAGTTTTCCACCTCAAGATTTCCTACTATCGGCGATGTCTCATTTACATCTATTTCTTGAAAACTTGAATTACTAGGTCCTGTCCAAGACATCCGGTAATTTGTTTCATCTAGGCGCTCTGGAGTTAATAAGTTTTCCTCAGACTTACTGATCTTTTTTGAACCTAAAATAAAGTAATTGAGTACTTTAATCCTTTATATTTAACCTAGTTCTGAAACATTACCCAAACACATGACAAATACAGGCGCTAAGTATTTAATTCCAATAAATTAAAGATCTGTATTAGAAGGAATAATTTTTAATATAAATGCAAATATATTTACATTTATATTTGTAAACAACCTCTAATTGTTGATAGAAAAGATAATATTCAAATTTAAATATTCAAATATTTTCATTATTCAAACATGAATTTTTAATTTCTAGCATAGCAAATTAATATATTTTATCATTAAAAAGCAACTAAAGAGGTTTTAGAGTAAAACTATGAGATTATCATGTAAATGTACCTTTCTTTGTTAATCTTTCACCAATATCTGGGCTAAAAAGCAGACCGGTTTTTATAGACCCAATCCCATTTTTTAAACTTTGTTGATTTGCAAGTCGTTGACCAACATTTTCATATCTATTGACACCAGAACATCCATTCTGTATAGAAAAGAAAAATTGAAAGAATTTTGGTTAAGAAATAAATATAGTTAACTCAAAATACTAAGACAAAGTAGTTTTTTGTAGTTATCAAAAGCTACAATTGATTAAATAATTGGCAAACGACTTTTTAATAAACATAAATATGCTCTCATGCTATTGAAAATTATAACCTGATATATTATTTTATGATTAAAATAAAGTCTTACATATTCATTAATTAAAAAGAAATTAATTTGGGGGCTTAGTTTGTGCCAAGTTCTTTTCACAGTAGTAAAAAACAGACCAAAATCCTAATCTCATGGAGTTTACATTCCAGACGAGGACTTAGTGAAAAACAAGATAAATAGTAAATTATATTATATAATACACAAAATGAAAAGTATTAAGGAGTCAAGTAAATCAGGGTAAGAAGGATACTGAGTGGAAATGAGTAAGAGTATGATTTTGAAGAGTTCAGGAAGAAGATGATTTTTGAGTAAAGAACTGAAGATGAGAATGAGAACCAGGTCATTATATGAAGGAAGAACATCACAGGCAGAGGAAAATGCCAGTGCAGTCTTTGAAGCTGGGGCAAGGTTGGCATGTTTGACAAACAGTAAGGAGGTCAAAGTAGATGAAGCAGGGTGAGCAATGGGAAGTAGAAGGAGAAGAAGTTGAAGAGGTAAGCTGGGAACCAATCATACAGCACTTTGCAGGTAAATGCAAGAATGCCGGCCTTTATTCAGAGTGAAATGAGGAGTCCTAGAAAGTTCTGAGCAGGAATGACACAATTAACTTGAGTTTTGAAAGAATAATTTTGGCTACAGTACTTAAGCAAGGGTCAGAGCAGATAGACCTAATAATTAATGGAAATTAATAGAGCTTACTGTAGTAATCTAGGAGAGATGAAAGAACATAGGGGCAAAAGTAGTACAGGCAAAATTTGGTGATCAGAACCTAGATATATCTTGAAAAAACAGAAGTTAAAGCAGACAGGATTCCCTAATGGATTAGACATGGTGTGTGAAAGAAAGGAATCAAAAATACTTCCTTGTTTTTTTGCCTAAGTGACTTGAAGACAGAGATGCCATAACTGAGATGGGGAAGTGTAAGTGTAATTTGATGCTGGGGAGAGGGAGGCAATAATGGTGGCAACAAAGAAGTGCATCTTAGGAGCTGTTTGGGACAGGTTATTCTTGAGATGTCTATTGGGAAGTCAAGCTGTTAAGAAAGCAGTCAAGTTGTCCAGGAGAGATCTGCTGGAGATATAAAGTCTTAAGCAATTTATAAGATGAGCCCCTCGAGTGAGTGGAGATAGAAAAGGGAAGTCCAAGAACTAAGTAAGCTTTGGGCACTCCAATGTAAAGGAATCTGAGAAGCAACTAGTGAAGAAGAAAGAAAATCATGAGAGTGCAGTGTCCTAGAAAAAAGGAAAGAAAGTATATCAAAGGGAAGGAAGTAATCATCTGTGTCATATGCTGCTGATAAGTTAAGTGAGATAAGGACTGATATTTGACCAAGGAGTCCCAGTGGCATTATGGTTAAGTGCTAAGCTGCTAAAAAAAGGTTGGCAGCCTGAGCCTGCCTGGTGGCTCTGTGGGAGAAAGACCTGGTGATATGCTCTTGTAAAGATTACAGCCTAGAACACCCTATGGGGAAATTCTACTCTCTTATATGGGTTGCTATAAGTAAAAAATAGACTCAACAGCACCCTTACAACACTACATCTGACCACTGGCTTGAGCAATGTTGAATTCATCGGTGACTTTGAGAGAGCAATTTCATCTCATGAAAGGTTTAAGCAAAGTGACAAAGAGGAATTTGAGATATCAACTCCAGCATAGTTTTGCAATAAATAGTAGTAGAGAATGGGGTAGTAGCTGGAGGGACAACAGGGTGAAGTGGATCTTTTTAGCATCAAGTCTACATTTTTGTACTAATATAAACAGATCAATGAAAAGTTCTGTTTTCACTAATAAAATGGTGAAAGACACTTACTACATCTCTGCTACTTTTCCCCAGACTAAATTTCAAACGAAGAGATCTTCGCACTTTTTCTTTACGACTGATTTTAGGAGAGAAGCAGCCTGCTTTTCCTGATTCTACCCTAAAAAAATTGGAATTAAGCATGTCAGTTTATTCTTTTAGCCTAAACCAAAGAGATTCTTGCAATATGAAATTTGAGAGAAATCTATAGCAAAACATATTGTTAATAATTGAATACTGTAATAATTTACTAGAATTAGTTAAGCTTTAAAATATCATATATGTACCATATACGAGTACATTGCATTTCTACAGGGAAACCCCTGAGAGTTGAACTTAATGGGACTGCCTTCTTTTGCTGGGACTTTTCTGTCTTTGACAGAGTACAATCTTACCACTTTTCTTCTACTCCTTTTAGTGAAAAGTATTTGGGTTTTCCTTCTCTTGACAGGTTTCTTTCTGCCTTCCACAGGTTCTGGCTTTCACAGGTTTGACTATATATATGAATGATCTTTCCTGTTTACCATACATTTATCTGGTCATTTCCAAACTGAGATCATTAGAATAGATTTGCTTTAAACGAACAGGAAAATTTACAATTACAGACACCAACACAAAACAGGATTTTAAGCAAGCAAAGTAGAAACATACTAGATAACTTTTTCTGGTGAATATAAAACAACTGATTAGTAAGAACATGAGGATAACAGAAAATTTTTTTATTATATAGTTCAAATAATTCAATTATGATTCTCTGTAGGGAGATGAAAAAATATTTCATTGAACATAATACACACACACACATATATACACACTGTAGATTTTTGCAAATATGTGCAGATATTTTTTGTGAATATAACACACAGAAATGATGAAATCAAATAAAACAGTTCTGGCATATCACGCCCATGCATATACTGCCCATGTCTCATGACATTTTTAGAAGTGAATTTCAGCCTCATTTACCTGTCCTCCCATATTATAGGTAAATAGTACAGTTCTGTTCATTTTCTTTAATCTCCAGTTTATGTGTATAAAAATAATACAAAAATGTTACTTTTGATAATAATTGTATAATAAAGGTATAACTCATGGTCAAAAAGTCATGGATAGAGTTTGCAGTAATCAGAAAATAAACAATCAAAACTGCATTGATAATACCTATGTTAAATGAAGTTTCCATGTGATCAGAAATAGAATTAAAGTCAGAAACGCATAAAAATAATTCACACAGTACACTTATGGAAATAATGTGAGTTGAAAATAATGTACAGTCAAAAAAAAAAAATTACAATGTGCATACCTATATGGGAGCTCTGGTAGCATAGTGGCTAAGACACTTGCCTGCTAA